GATTAAAGTTGTACATAACAACTCTTCCAGATTAATATAAAAGCAAATGTGAGGCTTAATATTCCCAAATTATAATTTTTTTTTTTAGAAACACATGGGGCAGGTACAACATGTGCAATCTTGAGTTCAGTGGCACTACCCATTAGCTCTGTGGTCTAGAATGACATGTCTACTGCCTTCATGAGTTCACATGCTCAACATACAAGTACATGTAGAAGAATGCATCATACAAGCTGTAAAGCACTCTTTAAGGACACAACATCTGAATTGATTGGGCTGATACTCACCATAGATCTACTTGAAAACAAAACAAGAAAATCAAAGATATGAATGCATATAGATTAGGTTAAGCTAAGTAATGCTATAATGATCAGATGGATCTTAGTCTAGTCTCCCGCCTGGGGAAAACTTAAAAGGAAGATTCTGAGGAAGATTCTCACTCTATAAGTTTTTCTTGGTTATATTGCCACATAGATCACTACAGATATTTCTTTGCAACTTCCAACCGTATACAATACAGATGTTTGCTCTAGTTACCTTCTCCATTCTGACCAAAGAAAGAGGCAAGGTTTGTCAAAAATGAAACAGTAAGGTTTACATCAGTAAATCTTAACCCCATTCATGAACTCAACTAACAGCTTATTGGTACTTTATACCCTGCCCCCTCCTCTCTCCCATGTTTAATGCAATTGTACACAGAAACCAAGTGGGATTGTTTTATCAATGCTACCCTTGTAAAAAAAAACACCATCAACCCCAGGCCTGTGATGATGACTACAGGGTTATGAACCACTGGTCTATGTGACACATGCAAAGAGCGAGTGAAGGGGACATTGAGACAGTGTCAGATTAAAATACAATACCGGTAGGCCATTTTCGTGATGTACTCAAATAATTGAATGCACAAATCTTTGTTAAGTGCCTTGTTACAAATTATTTCATACACCTGTTACAAATAATTGTATTTCAATAGTCAGAATGCAAATTGCATACATTATGTGTTGTTAGGTAGGACAAGCCATAATGTTTGTCCTACCTAGCAACAATCAATGTACGCAATCTGCATTCTGACTGTGAAAATATTACTATTCATAATAGGTGAATGAAATAATAAATGAACACAAAGATGTAGGCATCAAATTTGAATGTATTAGTACATTTCAGAGCCATGGGCACCGAAGCTTGCCAAAAGCACTATCTTACCCCAAAAGCTGTCTATACATGTATTACAATAAATGAATGTCTACTTTCCTGACTACAATGGAATTAAAGATGTGTATTACATAAAGCAAACCAATCTTTGTGAAAATATAGAGAAGCAACATCACCTCAGGGTTAAACAATGCCAATTAAGTACAAACATTCTAAATGTAAAACAAATCAAGCTTTTTTTCAACAGAGCATGTATAATCTGTTCCTTTCCAAATAAATGTATACATCAATAAAAAACAGATGTCTACACTTACATGTAGGTAACCTATTATTATGCCCAAAAAAAGTTAGAAAAAGAACCAAAGGAAAAAGGACAAAATGAAATGAAATATGGCCAAGACATATTATCTGGACTATCATATATTAGGTACTTCATAGATTAGATACTATTCATCAAGACCGAAAATAAAGAATATAAGAAAAAAGTAAATCCTTCTCCAATAATTAAAATGTTCCACATATTACACAAGAAGGAATGTAATAGTAGTTGGCATCTAGTCTGCCGGCACAGACCCTAATTTGACACTTAATCAAAAAATCATTGTGCCTTGAGAGAAGTCTAGCCCAGCTACCTACTGGTTGTGTCAGGAGCAGCTACAGTACATGGCCTATGGTAGTCTTATAGTGCAGACTCACTTTTACGACTGACCAGGGTCTGTGCTTGCAGACTAGTTGGCATCCAGGATAAATATTGAACCACCCATACAAATAACAAACAAAAACAAAGAAAAAACATCAAGAATCATAAATATCAAGTTGTCCTACAGCCATCACCATTATATCATTTTGAAATAAAATAATCTAACAGTGAATGTTTACAATATATACTGGAATATGTTGTTGGGCAATACATATACACACACCGGTAGACCCTTTAATTTGTTATTACCATTACAAATGTTTCCTAAGGTGTAATTATTCATTATTAAGATGAACAAAACTTTATTTTACATTCTTTGATTACAAAAAAAACCACTATCTATGGACACTTCTATTACACAAAACGTTCCATGCCCATCAGAAACAGACTCTTTATCTCTCTTTTCTTTCTAAATCCTAATTATTAAAAAAAAGGAATATCAAAATATCATATCTAGATTTCAATACAAATTCACATAACATTTACAATAGAACGACTACACAATACATGTATATTATATATTAGAATCCTGTTTTTAGTCATCATTGCTACAGTATGCTGTCATTACAGCAACATAAAACACTTTAAAAAACATTCGACTTACCATTAGACCCCTACCAGCATAAAGACAGAGTAAATGTGCATAATAGCTGCACAAATTGCATCACTTGGAGATACATGTACGTGTAATACCTGAAATGGATTAATAATGAGTGGACATCTCTTTCTTCCCATCACCCTAATAATCTCCACGTGCCCTCACTCCCAAGCACATCTGGAAGACGTCACATTTATCCTTGGAAAACAGTGGATGATGCGAGATGGCCCTGCTTCACAGGAGAGTCCTTTTTGTTTATAGTAAACATAGAAGGCAGGAGGTCAGATACTTGCAAGCATCTGTCGAGCCGCCAAAAATGACACCAGGGACCCGTTTCACAAAGCCTGTTTTTCAATGGCAAATGACTAAAATCAGTGACAAATCTGCTGATAACCAATCAGAAGCAAGGATTTCAGTAGCTTATAACAAAGTGTCTTTGTCACTGATGACAAGTTTTGTGAAATGCCCCCAGATGCATCAAGAAGAGAATCATTGCATTCTACATGTATACCCGTTGAGGCTCCCCATTGACCCATTCTGTAATTTCATCCAGCATTTAGACCCCCCTGCTCTTATACTGTATTTCTTCAGAGGGGAAACACAACCGTTAAACTGGCTTTTTATCACAAATCTACAAATGTAGATGGTTTTTCTCAAGATTTAGTTACATAAAGCCTGAAAGCTGGACTGCACTACTTGTACATGTAGCTACTTGCTCCATCTATATAGCCAACAAGGCCCAAGCGGTACCCGTCGATCCCCTATGGTTCCCTTTTTCTTATGTTAATTGAGAGCTGATTTGATGAGATAACCACCTGCCAGTGACCACGAAGGGAGGTCTAATCCTCCCTGGCCAAACTAGTGCAAATAGACTTTAACCAGCAATGCAACAACTCTTTGGACAACGGATAAAGACAAAAATAAGTAAACATACCCACATTTCTAACTTCAGTATGGAATTGACTAACTGCTGTTATGTCTGTCAGACTCAATGTTTTGCCCACCGAACAGTCCTTATGCATCCCAATCAATTAGCATGAGCTGCTAAGGCTCATGTACCTCCTTCATTAATAATATTTTTTCCATCCAAGATCAAGTAAAAGTAAAGGCTTGTTCAGATAAGACGTGGCAAAACCACAGTGTTTTTTTATTTTATTTTATTTATTCTATCAAGTGTCGCATTTCTGTATCTCATAACACGAAACGTTTGTTGTGCGCAGTTGCAATTCATTTACAAGTAAAATATATGCAAAAACACAGTGGATTTTTTTTAATGCGGTTTTGAACGTCATATCTGACCAAGGCTTAAGGATTAGCAGGGAATTTCACACAAAAAATATCAAACAAATAAACACCACATACAAGGGGACTTAGAGATCGGTGTGCAAAACATATGGTTGCACGGTGTTCATAATCATGAATGAAATCTTTTTCTTTAATAACAAAATCAAAAAGCACATGAAAAACTTTGAAAAAATGTACACACCGTTTACAAGAAAGGTATTCACTGATAGACTCAAATTTGTATAAATGTAAGAACCATAATACCCTCTTGCAGAAGATCTGCAATCATAGCTTTCTTGCTACAATAGTTTAGTTTTGTTTTGTTTTGTTTTGTTTTAACGCCTGTCGGCATTTAAAGCCCTACTGTCCTACTTGGAGCTACTTGCTCCCTCTATATAGAAAACTACCCCAATCGGTGCCTGTTGGTCCCCCATGATCCCCTTTTTCTTATGTTAGTTGAGAGCTGAGTTAATGAGATAGCCACCTGTCAGTGACCTCGCTGTGTGGTCTAATCCCTTCTGGCCCAGAAGTGTTGTCAGTCTTTAAAAGGAAGTGGGGTTGCATCAATTCTTAGCCTTTGCATTTGTTTTGCTGTAGTTCCATCTGCTTTGTGTGATCACTATGTATTCTAGGCAGTCTTCGTCACTAGCAGGCGCCAGGACAACCGGGCATCAAAAATCTAAGTCTGGACACCCAAGGCCACGATTTTGAAAGTTCCACATAGGGCTCGTCTATGCAGTGTGGAGCCTTGGGCCCCGTTTCACAAAACTTGTCATCAGTGACAAATGACAGTTTTTGTTATAAGCTAGTGAAATCCTTGCTTCTGATTGGTTATCAGCAGATTTGTCACTGATTTTTGTAATTTGTCATTGATAAAAGGCTTTGTGAAATGGGTCCCTGGTATAGGTTGAGAAGCCTTGCTGTAACCGTTTTTCCATTACTACAAATTCAGGGTATATTACAGTTTGCCCAAGAAGCTACTAATTATTAAAATGAAAGTGGAATACTCTCATGCCATACAAATATTTCTGATGTCAACACCTCATTCACACATACCATGGCAAACTGCCTCAAATTTTTGTTTATATAAATAAATAAAAGTAAGAGCCACACGGCATGCATGGTCTTGCCTACGCACACAATATATATATACCGGTATGTCTTCTGGTGAGTACAAACTACTGATGGTTCATGCTAAGTTTGGTAGCCATCAGCAAAACAGAAATGGCCACTGTATGTGTACATTTGCACTGATAATTTTGTGTGTGTGTGTGTGTGTGTGCATTACCCGGTATATAGATGGACCATGGCATGTGTGAACTAGATATAATCCCTATATGGGTGAGTAGTACGAGGGATTTGACTTCAAAATAAAGCATGTTTCTTTCTAAATATGAAAATCTCACTACCCTTTAAAGTTGGACCTTCGGAGAGACAATATGTAATTACACCTAGACAGATTTGATGAAAAGCGGAAGTTACCTATCTTCATTTGATTATTAATTACAACTTGACTTTCTAGAGATAATCTTATTATTTCTTCAGAGCATTAGACAACCAGTCGAGGCCTTCGTAGAGTCCGTCACCTGTGGTGGCACACGTGCTGTGGATGTACCATTTTCGTTGATTCAAGCCTGACAGTTGTAGTGCTTCTTTTGCTTCATTTGCTTTCATGGCGTTGGGAAGATCCTGTCAATAGAACACATAATACCATAGTCACAATAAGTCAAGGTGTAAAACACATACACCAATTGAAAATACATTGGTGCATCTATGTCTTCACTCTTCTTCTTGAACTAGTATTACCAGGGGTGAAGAAAGTGAGCACTAAAAAAAAAAAAAAAAAATTCTCTTTCCTCAATCACCCTCCCCCTTGAGTAACAAAAAAAAGATTCTGGAAAAAAAATGGCATCTAACAACAACATTCCCCGCTTTTGACTAAAAAAATTGGAGAAAACAGGGAAAGAAAGGAAAAAATAGGGAATATAAGGGAAAAATCAGGAAAATAAAGGTAAAATCGGTATTAAATTTTTTTTTTTAAATCAGGGAAAAAAAATTGGGGAAAAATCTGGTAATTATCAGGCCTGTATTACACTGAAACAATGGTATACATTCATTCTAGCACTGTGTATAACTAACAGGGTTCAGTACATGTCGATTTATTTCATTTCCGACGAAAAAAGAAGAAAACAAATCTCCAGTCCGCACAGACTTGGTCTAGATGTCTCAAGCATCAAATTGACTGCAATAGAATGAAAATCAAGTAACATTCAAATCATAAAACTTTCTCTAAATTATGGCCAACCTCACAGAGCTTCACCAAATTTTTTTTTTAATATATATGGCCCATCATATCAATAGTCTATGAAAAACTGTCGACAGATATGATGAAATGTAACATGTTTGTGACCTACCTTTTAAGACAAACCCTACAGTTGTAGGTTAACATATTTTCTTCCCTAGTGTTTTCATATTCCATTGTTGATCATAACACCTTGTAATATTGTTCATGATGATCTATGAGTGACATCTAATCTAACAATTTATGAACATGTTTTTAATTGTTTTCACTTCAATTTCAAACTTCTCTATAACTTCTAGAAGATTCTTTAACAATGTAATCACATGGCACGAACTCAAAATCATCCTTAATATTACCTGTTTGTTTGCTAATACTAGAAGGACTGCATCCCTGAGTTCGTCCTCGCTAAGCATGCGATTCAGCTCCTCCTTTGCCTCTGCGAGACGTTCCCTATCATTGCTGTCTACCACAAAAATGATACCTACATAAACAAAAAGAAGCAATAGAGAGTTAGAGACCCAGACGACTTTAGGCACATGCTCATAAAAGAATTGCATTTTTTAATACAATACCTCCACATTACCTTTCTTTTCCTAGTGATGCTACAGCATGTCTGACATAGCAACTCCTATGTAGTATGTTGTTATTGTATGGTCTATTGTAAAGAGGTGGCCAGCTCTGGTGCAGCTACATACCACTGTCTCTTATTAGCTCACTAATGATTGACAGATGATGTCACAAGATGAATGAGATCTGGAGCATTTTTTTAGGGTGGAGCTTAGCTGGTCTGAGAAAACCATTTTAAGATATATTTAAAATTCTTTGTAATATATTTAGATGTTTTTATAACAAATATAACTTGTATGCAGCCCTGCACATCAACAGGAATCAACTTATGTTTGGATTTCACCCCACCTTTAAACCAATCCATGAACAAGGGGGGGGGGCTTTAAATAAGAAACCATTCAGAATAATTCTTCCAAAAAAGGCATATATACATTTAGATCAATACAACAAAATTAGATGATATCAGCTGTTCAATATAACTGTAATTTACCTTGTGTGTTCTGGAAGTAATGCCTCCACAGTGGCCTGATTTTGTCTTGACCACCTACATCCCACACTGTGAAGCTTATGTTCTTGTATTCCACTGTCTCTACGTTGAAACCTGCAAAAATATCAAAGAATTAAATAACATCAAAATATGTCTGGTAGTACAGTATATCATGATGTCTTATTATCAAATCGTATATAGAGTTGTGATAATGAGTATGCTCTTCAGTCTTCACTATATACTGGTAAGTTACAAAACTAATTCTGGATTGCTTATCAGTTATCATCATGCGATAGATCATAGATGGGTTGTTCAGACCAGCAGGCCTTGAGAAGAGACCAACATACATGTAGTTCCTGAATCTGTGTCCTGAGAGACCCCTCCCCCCTATGATCTCGGCCGTCGAAAGTCTGATGAACGCGAAAATTTACATGTTTGTAGATATTTACGTAAGGGACAAGATGGTATAATTAGTGTTTTCCTAATATGCAAATTTTTGTCGTTATAGCCTAATTAATTATGCAAAATGCTAATTTTATGCCTTTTTACAGAAAACTCTACATATTTGTCTGTAGACTTGTGAAGAATGTTGAAAATGTAATGAATAAATGTTTCCTTCATCTCAAATTTATGAGGTTACATTATTTTTTTTATTTGAAAATGTATAGGTTAATTGCATAAATTTGCATAAAATGTAGCATATTTTTGATGACATGCGCATACTAATTGTTATGTAACACCTTACAGGTATTTCCGATTTTGACGAAAATGGTATCAAAATGTGCGTAAGACTTGAGGGAAAAAAAGTCATGAAATGACAATTCAAAATTCCAAGTGGTTGCGGTGCAATCTCCGAAAATGTCGAGGGGGGGGGGCCTGGGAGGCCCCCCCCCCCCCCCAGTACAGTAAGGGTTAACCACCAAATCAACACTAAATGTAAAATGATTATGTTTCACGTGTACCTACATGTACTCCAGTCTGGTGTGTGCAAACCTATAAAGACCCATTCTCTAACCAAAACCCTGTCAACCTGTACTACCACTGTACATGTATCTTGGTATGCACTTAGTATAGCAGACACCTTCATTCTATTTCTGTGGAATTATTGTCACATCCTAAATAGATATATCCCAAGAAGATCTCTTGTACACATTCGTAAGATTTATTGTACATCAAAAGGCAGGAATTCATCTTGTTTTTTCAGAATACCTACACTTATTCTTTGGGGTTAGCTCTCCTTCAACTAATTCTTGTATTCATCCATACCTATTGTTGGGATGGTTGTGACAATTTCACCAAGCTTGAGTTTGTAGAGGATAGTCGTCTTTCCAGCAGCATCCAATCCAACCATCAATATTCTCATCTCTTTCTTGCCAAATAAACCGGAAAATAGTTTGCTGATTGAACCACCCATGGTGAAGCTTAAATCTAGTCCTTAGGCTTCAAATAGATCAAGATTACTGATTCGGTCGTTTCTCAGATGTTCTCAGTTGTGAGTGCCAACAGATTTACGTTCGTTTCCCACTTTTGTTTTACATGTACCTGTGAGGGTGAGATATAAATATTTTAATAGATAGTAAATTGGTATTGTGGTATATAAAGCAGGTATTAAAAGAGAATCAAGATTCAAGATTCAACTACTCTAAAAGAAAGCAGGAAAATCAGAGAAGCAGACTGGTGAAAGTTGGAATGAAATCCCACAAAAAATAGGAAATTATGAATATTTGAAATTTGTAATCACTATACATGTACCTACAGTGTATGGCATTTCAAATTGATTGAATCGGTATTGTCACTGTGACGTAGTGCTCGACAACTTTCCCAAGAGGAGAAGGCACTTAGGAGAAAAAGAGAATGTAATGATACTTTTCTATACGACAAATGGGAGAGTTGTCCACTATGCCAAGACAAAATTGCCAATTTGAAATTTGCATCTAGATTCATTTAGTGATCTCAAATTTCAAACATTCATAACTCTCTTAACTTTAACTTAAGTCTGATGTATTTCAAACTTGCGCCATTCTTTTCCTCTTATTTTTCTGCTTACCGGTTCATGTTTAGGAGTTATTATGTTTCTCAGAGATGGACCTTGGAATATACAGCTTTTTACTATGACCTCTGGTTGACACCTGGCCTATAAAGTCTGGCACCACTTCTTGGTCATACCAATGAAACAATTTGTAGGTTTCTATCATATTTCCTAGAGCACGACTCATATCGCGCACAACGTTATGTGTCTAGAGTCTTTAATAGGTGAGCTAACTTTTGCTCCTATGGACGAATCGCAATCTCAGTGACCAATGTTGTGGCCCTTCTTTCTACATGTACATTTTCTAATGGTTGAAATATTTTTCAAGTCAGGACTCCATACAGAATGTGCATATTCCTTGTTCTGTCTAATCAGAGCAATATGTACATGTATATAGGATTAGTCTCCTTACATGTATCTTCATGTACATGTATAGTCTCATAAATGCCAAGTACAAAGATCAGCCATGCATGACATTTTCATGACTCGGCGCGCAAGTGCGCGGGGATAGCGTTTTTTCGAAATCGCGCGAGAACGTTTCAGACCCTCGAAAATGTGTGACACTTGGTAGCTCTGTAGTCTCCTTAAGTATATATACAGGTACAGGACTACAGGTACATGTAATAATGTTCAGCTTGTTAATTTACTGGCTTTATTGATCTTAGACTGAAAATGCTTCTCAAAACTAAGCTTGGAATCATCAATTACTCTTAAATCTTTACCTGGGTCAACATGTGGCAGATGATGAGTGCCATTTCCACAGTTCATAATGCAGCAATGTACAGTGTACTTATGCACATGGCTTGTCATGATGATTACCAATGGAAACTAAACAGCATTTATCAGGATAGAACTTCATCAGCCACTTTTATGACCATGATACAAGGCAAATGTTGCATATCATTATGCAGTAAAACTGCACCATTCCTACTTTTAATATATGCTTCAATATCTTGAAGGTAACTCTGCCATCAATGGTGTAACTACCATGGAAACCTACCATGGTAGTTGCCATTGATGGGAAAGTTACCATCAATGGTAATGCAATGGGGGCCCAGGAAGATCATTAATACACTTAACATAAAGCAGAGGTCAGAGGTCAGAGGGCACTCCCTTGTGGTTACATCATGTTTCCTACCCTTCACAAATAATTTTATCCACTAACATTTTAGGAGTTGGATATTCCAAAACACTCAACTTTTGGCTAAAAGTCATTGGTGATTTGGTGCGGTACCTGTACCTTACATTATCAAAGGCCTTCAAGCTTCATGAAATCTTTGAAGCAACTACAACTGAGCCACCACATTCCCACATGCTTACTAGTCCATTCATCTTTGATATTAAGTACATGTACTGTAGGTCTAATAATAAAATTATAGAACAGCCCAATAGAAGACCAAACTGTCTTGTATTATCAAAGAAGGATGTTGTGCCACATGTAATACCTAATGTATCCTTTTTTAGGGGGTGATTTTACTCACACAAAGTTGCTAAATATTGATATATTCAAGTCATCACAACACATCAGTTTTCCATGAAAAAATGGCTTCTATTATTAAAGAGAATTATGAACACTTGATACTTCTCCGTCTTTCTCAGAGGGTGTCGGATGGCCGGCATTGGCTGCCATACCACACAGCACTTGCTACGACAAATCATATTTACAGGTGAACGCCAAGATATGGCGCTGCTCAAAGTATTTTTTTTTTTGCCGACTCCGTAGGACCGTAGGCAGCAAGCCTGGTCAATGTTCCAAAACCCACACCGGGAAGAACCTTTATTTTACTACCAGGGGCACCGATTTGTGCTTGTGAACTTGTCACAAATAAGGCATTAAAAAATGGGATATAAATGCATAAAATCATTCAATTACATGTATTCCCAAAGTCCCATTCGTCTTCTGCCCTAATTCCAAAATCCTGCTTACATAAACAAGTACATGTAGACCCCAAGCCTTGTGTACGTGTACAGTATAATTATGGATGGATGATGTCACGGTATAGCACATTTTTCTTATCGGTAACATCATAGCAATGTTATGTTTGGTCACATGATGCTAAGTGTACATTGATTATATTGATAACCAATCAGTAAACAGGATTTCATTAATCAAAAATATAGTATTTTATACTCTTTGCGGATTTCAAAAGTAATTATCCTCTGAAATCCTCAAACTCAAAGTGACAGAAAAGTGATCTTTCATAAAAAAACACCAATCATTTCCTTAAAGAAAAGAGCATGAAATCTGGCATTTTTCCAGCACTATTTTTGCCATAGGCATGTAGTTAACATGTACTCAGGTAGCATGGCATGCAGCGCATCATGCCTTGGGCTTCTGAGATATGGTACATTGTACGACTTGACTCTTTATGACAACAAATTCTCCTTTAATTTACAAGGACAGATAGCAAATTTCGTGATCTTTATAATGTTATGAAATTTTCACATATTGAATTTGCTCTAATGCAAAATTGCAAAAAAATGTCTTGTAACAGAAAAAAGTTGCTTTCCCATTGTCATTTACAATGAATGGGGAAGTGGCAAAACTAAATGCATAACATTTTTATGAGGGTTTGCCATTTTACTTTTAGTTTTGGTCTGCATAAAAACCTCCCCCAGCTGAAAGTCGAATGGATGACCATAATCCAGAAATGTCTCTTATTCTTAATCTTAACTCTCCCTCCCTAAGATATATCCCAAATAGGGTCTAGAACTAGAAAGAGTATGAGAATATTAGCAGAGATGCCAAGTTCAAAGATCAGCTAAGCGTGACATTTTCCTGACTAGGCGCGCGAGTGAGGGTATAGCGTGTACGGTATAGTGTACGTTTCGAAATTGCGCGCCTGTGTGAAGTTATCTACCGTAATGTCTCAGTCTAAGTCTCTAAGATCCTTATTAGACATTACGGTAGATAACTTCACACAAGCGCGCGCTCGCCTTCAACCCACCATCTGTATGCATAAATGTGCAGCGGTTTGCCGTGAAACCTGTGAAAAAGTGTATACCAATAATATCAAGTTTCCCGAAAAATAACAAGAAAATTGACATGAGACAGGTGATTAACATAACAACTTTTAGCTCATGATCTTTATTTAAACATTTGATGAATATTCACTTCATTTTGGGTATGTTTTTGTAGTGTAGGGTGTCTGAACAATTTTTCAATTTTCAATTTGGGATCGTTTTTCACCATTTTTGTTTGATATTTGAATTAAAAATGTAATCAGAATAATACATTTCAAATTTCAAGTCTCGCCGATGTTTCTATCAAAAGATACAGCCCCTTCAAAACGCTGAAATATTCATAGCATTTTGCTCAGAATCGACGAAAAAGACGTACACGCAGAGTTATGTTGTTTTGCTAAATTTAGCCAAACAGCTGTATCGCGCGATATGCAAGCGTATGCATATCGTACGCAAGTTGCTCAGCCAATGCGCGACTTGCAAGCTTGAGCCACGCTGTCTCCGCGATATGTGCCATTGACTAGTATGGGTGGCCGTTCCCGCCATAGAACCCGGAAGTGAATACACGTTGTAGTCAATGGCAATATCGCGGAGACAACTGCACGTTGTCTCCGCGATATTGCCATAGACTACAACGTGTATTCACTTCCGGGTTCTATGGCGGGAACGGCCACCCATACTTTCATTCACTATAAGCGCACATGTTACGCGATGTAACCATGGTTTGGACTGAGCGGAGCTCACGCCTCCCTAATTAGCTGATTCCAAAAATGTGGGAAGGGTATTTTCAAACTGTTATGACAAATGATCCCTTGGGGCTAGCGAAAAAAAAAGCATCTGGATATTATCCTTACGTCTAGCCCTGCTTAAGCCGCGGGGGCGCAGCTCAGGAAAGTGGCAAATTTTGGAGCTAGGATGCAAACAACATTTCAATCGCTGTTTTGACCAAGATATTTTTAGAATTCTGGGGGTGGCCCCCTATGGGGAATATGGAGAAAAACCTGCTCTTTCATATGACACCTCATTTATTGAGTTTCACCTTCAGAATCATTTGTTATAAAGGTTTGAATTTCAAATTTTTTCATAAAATCATTGACCAATTTTGGATGGTCGCACAATGCACGTAGACCACATAGGGAAGCGTACAATCTCTATGGGAAGGGTTTTAGCACACAACATTGGGTGCGCGATCAGACACCCTATATAGTGGGGTATCTCCACGCCGAGTTACTGGTCAAATTTGGATAGGTTTCTGAACAAGCGCCGCAAAATGATTAAGTTAGACTTAGAGTAGAGTCTCTGGTTTGCGGCATCACCCGGTTTGCGGCCAGGGGTATTTGTTTTAAAAATAATGAATATGACTCGATTATAATCATTGAAACCTACCGTGGATTCCACGGTAAGTTCTGCTTTGCCGAAAA